GATATATCAAGCAAATGCCAATCAAAAAATAGCAGGAATGCTAATAATAATTTCTTATAAAATTGACTTTAAGACAAAAACCACCAAGAGAGACAAGGAAGGACACTATATAATGACTAAAGGTTCTCTTGAACAAGAGGACAAAACCATAATAAATATCTACACACCCAATGAAAGAGCCCCAAAATGTATAAATCAGATTTAATAGAATTGAAAAGACAGATGACTCCACAGTAATAGTAGGAGACTTTAATAGACCACTTCCAATGAAAGATAGAACAACTGGAAAGAAACTCAACAAAGACACATGTTCTGGTTACCTAGTGCCACTCTGACAGGAAATATACCACAAATGGAATGGCTTTAACAAACAGGAGTTTATTCTCTTAGTTCGGAGACTTGAAGTCCAAGTTCAAAGTGCCAGGATCTAGGGGCTGTGTGAAAAGCCCATTTGACCTTGGGCTTTAGCTCTGCCTCTTGCTCCTGGCCTGCTGAAACTAGAGGCATCTCTTCGCTTCGGCAGCTACTGGCTGCTGAGGCTGACAACCCAAGGTTGGCCAATAAAATGGCACACTCCCGATGTAACCAAACCACTCAGCAGGCCATTAACTAAAGTCCATTGAAAGTCCCAAAGGTGACAGAGCATGGCAACCTGCTGAACAATGTACTCCAACAAATTTGAAAACTTAGAAAATACTACTTACATAAACTAACACAGACAGAGGTGGAAAATTTGAACAGACTCATAACAAAAGAAGAAATTGAACAGGTCATTACAAGAATTACATAACACAAAAAATTTACATAATGGTGAAACCTGGGCCAGATAGTTTCACTGGGGAATTCTACAAAACATTCAGAGAAGAACTGACACCAATCCTATTCAATATATTCCAGAGCATAGAAAAGGATGGAATCCTTCCAAATTCATTTTACAAAGCAAGCATAACCTTGATATAAAATGAGGCAAAGACATCACTAAATAGGAAAACAACAGACCAATATCCCTCATAAATATAGATGCAAAAATCTTCAACAAAATCCTAGCCAATAGATTCCAACAACATATCAAAAAAAAAAATAATATATTGTGACCAAGTGGGGTTCATACCAGGTATTCAAGGATGGTTCAGCATTAGCGAAAAAAAATCAATGTAATCCATCATATAAGTACAATAAAGGAAAAGAATCACATGATCATATCAATTGATGCAGAAAAGGCATTTGATAAAATCCAGCACCCATTCCTGGAAAAAAAAAAAAAAAAAAACTTCTCATTAAAATAGGAATAGAAGGGAAATTGTTCAACATAATACAGGACATGTATGCAAAACCAACAGCCAACATTATTCTCAATGGAGAGAGACTGAAACCATTCCCCTTGTGAACAGGAACCAGACAAGGATGTCTTCTATCACCACTTCTATTCAACATTGTATTGGAAGTTCTAGCCAGGGTAATAAGGCAAGAAAGGGAAATTAAAGGCATCCAAATTGGTAAGGAAGAAGTAAAACTATCCCTACTTGCTGATATGATCTTATACCAAGAAAACCCAAGAGACTCAGCAAGAAAACTACTGGAAGTAATTGAAAGATTTAGCATAGTGGCAAGATACAAGATCAACATCCAAAAATCAGTTGGCTTCCTCTACACCAGCAAAGAAATTGCTGGAAAGAAAATAAGGAAATCAATACCATTTACAATACCTATCAAAATAAATAAATATATAAAATACTTGGGAATAAATCTCACTAGGGATGCAAAACACCTGTACAAAGAAAGCTATAAAACACTACTTCAAGAAACCATAAGAAATCTACATAAATGGAAGAACGTACCATGCTTGTGCATAGGAAGATTGAACATTGTGAAAACATCAATACTACCCAAAGCAATCTACATTCAATGCAATCTCAATCCAGATCCCATTAACCTTCTTCAAGGATATGGAAAAACCAATCACTAATTTTATACGGAAAGGAAAGAGACCTCAGATAAAAGCAAAGCACTACTGAAGAAGAACAAAGTAAGAAGTCTCAAATTTCTGGATCTCAAAACCTACTACACAGCCACAGTAGTCAAAATAGCTTGGTATTGGTACAATGATAGACACATAGACCATTGGAATAGAATTGGGAACCCGGAAATAGATCCATAGACTTATTGTCAGCTGATCTTTGACAAAGGGCTGAAATCTATTCAATGGGGAAGAGATAGTCTCTTTCATAAATGGTGCTGGAAAAACTGCTTATCCATTTGCAGAAAACTGAAACAAGATCCACACCTCACACCATACACACAAACAAACTCCAGAGGGATCAAAGACTTAATGTGAAACCTAAAACTATAAAATTCATCAAGGAAAAAATAGGGGCAAATTTAGAGGACCTAATTTATGGCATAAATAGATTCCAAGCATAACAGCAGAAGATAAACTAGGTGATTAAAAACCATCAAAAAGTTAATTTTTTACTGACTCAGGGCCATAGCACTGGGGGACACCAGACTCAATTGGCACAACAAAATACATAAAAATCTTGTTCTTCATCCTACATTGGTGAGTAGTGACTGGGGTCTTAAAAACTTTCAAGCAGCCATCTAAGATGCAGCTAATGGTCTCCTATTGGCAGAAGTGAAGAAGAGTGCAACAAAAACAAAAATGAAAACAAAACAACAACAAAAAAAAAAAAACAAAAAACAAGGGCATTTGGAAGCAATCAGCCCTAGGACACGATGGCCGTCAAGACCAGAAGAACTAGATGGTGGCCGGCTACCAATTCCAACTACTCAGAAAAATATAAAATCTGGAGATCTTGTATAGAGTGGGATGAAAAACGTGGAACAAAATCCAAAGACTCAATAATGACCAGAATTCCTGGTTGGATGGAGTCTGGTGAGACCCCCAATACTATGGCCCTGGGATACATTCTGGGCCTCGAATAAAGCTCACTCTCAGGGGCTGGCTTTCAGCCCAATAGTAAACAAGATGTACACACAGACCACTCAACCAAGGTGATGCACCCACATACTGTGTGGAAATGCATCCTTTGGAGCAATTGATATACTATACAAAAACATAGTTCTATATCCTACTTTGGTGAGTAGTGCCTGGGATTTTAAAAGCTTGTAAGTGGCCATCTAGATGCAATGATGGGTCTCTCCTCAACAAGAGAAAAGAAGAATGAAGAAATCCAAGACACATGGAAACAATTAGTCCAAGAAACTAGTAGATGCAATGCTCAATCTGTATGACCATGAGAGCAGAACTAGATGGTGCCCAAGTACCACTGTCAACCACTCAGAGGGGGATCGGTGCAGGAGACCCTGGATAGATTGGGAGAACTATGTGGAACAAAACTCAAAATCATAAAAATAAATAAATAAAGCCCAGTTTTGCTGGTCTGATAGAACCTGGTGAGACCCCTGAGACTATGGCCCTGGTTACCCTTCAGGTCTGGAACTGAACTCACTCCTGTGGCTTCCAGCCAAATAATAGATAGGCATATGAGCTGATCATTTACATCAGGTAGATACACTCCTTGGAGTGATCACAGAACGGCAGTGTTTGCACAGAGAGATAGCTGGGGGCAGGGGGTTGGTAAGAGTGCATGGGAGGGAAGGACACAGGGAAGAGGTAACCACAGGGAGGAAGTGGGAAGAGAGCTGTTTCATTGTGGGGAATTTCAGTCAATGCCATAAAACAAAATGTGTATGAACTGCTGTATGGAAATTGAATTTGCTCTGTAAACTTTCACCCAAATCATAATAAAAATTAAAAAAGAATATACAGAGTGTTGCTTACTAAAGCATGAATTTTAATATGAAAAACATAAAAAGGGTCTTCCCCTCAGCATGATGAATTAGCTGAATGCAGAAATTGCTTGTGCAAATGATCAAATTCTTCTCATGAATCCAGATGGCTAACACTGTAAAATGTTTCTGTGTAATTCTGTGTGATGATAGCCAGAGTATTTTGACAACCAGTGACTACATGTTACCCACAGCAGAACCATAGATTCTGGATCACACAAAACTTAATGCAGTGTTTTCACAGTGTAGACACAGTGGCAAACTTGGGTTAGTTGCCTTTCTTAGCTGATTCTGTGGTGGAGGAGCTGAGATTTTAATTAATTTTATCTTACATATCCCAATCCCTTTAATACAATTCTAAACTACCTACCAAAATTAACTCTTTTATATATATATTTTAAAGTGAGAGTTCCACATTCATTAATTTTGTAAATAAATAGAGAACTAAATAAAGCAAAGGAGTGCTGGGTTGAGCACTCTGCTACTAACTGAAAAGTTGGCAATTTGAACCCACTCAGAGACTTCTTGGAAGTAAGGAGGCCTGGCAATCTGCTTCTGAAAGATTGCATCCTTCAAAACCCTGTGGAGCACAGTTCTCCTCTGCACACAATGGGGTCACTATGAGTCATGAATCAGAATCAACTTGAAGGCAACTGGTTTGTTTTTTTGCTAAATAAGGCAAAGCTATATTACCTACTATAGAAGATAAGGGAGCTCTGGTGGCTTGGTGCCTAAGGCATTTGACTGCTAACCAGAAGGCTGGTGGTTCAACCCCCCCAGCCACTCCTCGGAAG